TGCAACATATATATATATATATATATATATATATAGATATAGATATATCGCATACTTTGTGACCATTTCAACCTATTGGGTTATTGTTATATCCTGTGACAGAATTGTACCACCACTTTTCCTAAATGAATCCCATCCCCTTAATTAAATTATTCTTGATCCTATTTCTTAATTTAATCCTCTTAATTCATTACTTAATTTATTTATTTTTCAATCAATAATTGCATGCTCTTTTTTAACTCTATGAATCTATCCAAATGCAAGTACAAATACCAAGTACTATTTCGTTCTATTCCAATATAGTATGATAGTTTTTTTATGATTGTGTATATTTACATAATTACAGAAACCATCTTACCTATCATTCAATACAATTTATTCAGTACATTAATCTTAATATTCAAATAATTTACTTTACACCAATCTATTTAGCCTTTGAATGCATGTTATTGCATATAGCTATAAAGGATATATATATATATATATTAAATCTCGCTTCATGTAACAAGTTTTATCTAAACTAGTTTAGTATATTTTGTATTTTAGTAAAGGTACCAGACTCATACCGTCGGCAATTATCTCAACTATTATAAACTCGTTAATCAGTTATACGTCAAAACAGAATGAACGTGGCTTTGGTCAACTGTAACATATTAAAATATGTAAAACAAGTTTCAATATATGTAATTATCTCGGGAACACTAAACAGCTAATTAATTTAGACAGAATGGAAATAGAGATTTAACTGATATACTAGCGAATTTATTAAAATTGTTTTTCTTTTTAAATAAAGGATAGAATTACTCGAAGAAGAAAGAACTAAGAACTCTTAATATAAAGGGAGAAAGCATGAAACTTTGATGCATGAAACTAAAAGACGAATTTTTTTTAAATGTTTCAAATATTTTTGGTAGCAATCTATATATTATTCAGAAATTTATGTATGCATATCATTAAAAACCAGTTTAAAACTGCTTCAAGTTCAAAGAATTTAAAGAATTGAAATTTGAAATATCAAGCTGTCATACTTATTTACAAATTTCTGACAAAGAACTTTTCTCACGTATGGACGTTGAAAAGTTTAAGCAAACTGAGTGAAAAGTTGGGCAGAAGCGAATAATTCACATAACAAACAAACTGAGCTATATTATTTGTTTTAATTGCGATTCAATAACAATTTAAAGATACATATTAGTAGTAAATATTGCTGTATTTCGCAGGGTGGAAACGAAATTCAGAAATAAAAAAACACTATAATTTATAATTGCATCTATCAGGAAAAAAATTTAATTAATTTTCCGGTAGTGTTGAACAATACTTAAATGAAATTATAATTTTTCTAACTTAAATTAAACGAATATTTAAAGGTTTCACTTTATGTTTATATTGAATTTTCTTAAGACTCTGTTGTTGTTACATGTGGCTTTATTGGAAATATTAATCCATATACAATGTTCAACTTTAAGTGGACATAGACAAGGAGTTACAGTAACAAACAAAGAAAACACATGACAAACACATGTTAATACAAAAAGAACACATAGAAAAAATTAAAATAAGAAAAAAACTATATATATACAGTGAAGAGTGAGGAGTAGTCTTTACAGAGAATTCATATGATTTCTGGCATCCCAGTAAAGTTTACACAGATCACCCCGCTCTTGGGATTGTTTGTCCAGTAAAGGGCATACAAGCAAGTGGTCTGAGTTCATGGTGCCCGAATTGCAGATTTGGCACTCGCTAGATGGAAGGATACCTATTCTGTTGAGGTGCTCTGCCAAGCAGTCATGGCCTGTTGAGAGTCTGAAATTTGCCACAGCCTTCTTACGAGGACTGTGACAAAATTTCTTCCAACTGTTTTGGATGTTAGCCCAGGGTTTTCCAGTGGATTTTACTGCTTGGTTGAGCATTAGGTCGGTCATAAGTTTCACGGAAAATTGTTTTTTAAGGGAGTCTGGTGGAATCGGTTTATTACATTGTGGTTCGAGTGTCCCTTTCTTGGCTAGTTGGTCTGCCTTTTCATTGCCATTGATTCCCACATGCGAAGGGATCCACTGGAACATAATAATTTTGTTGGCATTCTCGAGAAAAATCAAATTATCTCTAATATCTCAAATAGTCTGAGTATCTGAATCATGGTTTATGGCAACTGCCTGGATAGCTACCTTAGAGTCGATCTTAAGACTCTAATTAGCACTAAAATGTGGATGACGCTGGGATACAATTTAAAAGTATCTCATAGGTGAGCAAAGTGAGTAGGAATAAAGATACAATCTAAATGGAACTGCAAAAGCAGTTTTGGAAAGGGCAAGAACAACGGGGTTGGAACTAGCCTTGAATTAAATAAAACACTTTTACGTATTGTACGTAAGCACTTGTACGTGTTTGAAACATAAAACTTGAAGCTTTTAGAAATTGCATCATTTTTATCCATGCAAAGTTCGAATCAACCAAACTGAGCGTAGTAAGAACAAATATCCATCCATTTTTAATGCCACTATAACTATTAAAGCATTCTTATTTACATATTGCAATCCAATAGAATGATTTATGAATTGTTGGTATTAAAGCTAGAATTAAGCCAAATTTTAATTTAGGCCGAACTTTGAATTTGCAAAATCGGAGCCATAATTAAACGCTTCAAGCATGATCTTTCAAATTATGACAACCGTCTTGCCATGTAAAATCTTTCAAAATATTTGCTGCTATAAAAAAGATTGTCTATATTGAATAAGTTTAAAAAGTGTTCACATTGCTGTATCTTATACCTGTAGGTACATGATACAATATATTGGATTAATTGAAAAACTTTCTTAACTGACTTCTTCACTTTCTTAACTGAATTACAAATTTAGAGAGTCAAATTTGAGCACTTCACAGCATTTTTAAACTATAAAAATAATTTAAAGCATAAATTACACATTGCAATATTTTAAGGTTTCACAATAATTTTAACTAAATGTTTCTTAAAAAATGAGAGAATTTTAAGCTATTGCATAGTCAGATTGAAAATAAATTCGTAACAAAAACTTAGTTTGCACACATGCATTCCATAATACTTAAAAATAAAATGCTTTACTTTCATTGTAGAATAATTCACAATTCATTTCAAAATTGAATTCCGATATTTTGAATCAGAATTTTATATATTTATATGTTGAAAGAAATGACTTCTCGCCCTGGATACGCAGAATAAGAAATATCAAGTGAATGAAAGGTCAAAAGCATGAAATTGAAAAATATGATACGTCTTTTAAATTTATACGTAAACTATTTCCATTTAGATATTTCTCGCGTAAGCCACGAAATACGGTGCTTTTATTTGGAAAAAAAAATAAAAGGTTCAAAATAGATTGAGAAATGCATAGTTTCTAGTCTAATTATAAAAAGCAGCGCGTTTTTTTAAATTTAAATTGGCAACGTACTTGCCCAAACGGCTACAATGAACCGCTAAAATATCCAGTTAGACTGGTGAGTTTCTCGTCGCCCTATATTATTTTTAATGAATTAAGTTTATCATAATCATTAGGTTATTTGTTTTGTTTTAGTTCTATAAAATGTTTAGAAGTTTAATTAGTTAAGAATATCATGTGTTAATGAAGACAATAGTGCATTTTGTATAGAAAATTCCGATTTGTTTCAAATTTTTTAAGTTTACACCATTTTTCTTGTTCTTAAATTTTCTCCAAGTTGAGATGCATATTTGCATGGGTTATTAGTGCAGATTTCTTTTACCTTTTCCCCTATATATTAGAATTTACTATATGACAGAAAAATGTAAACAAATGTAAATAAAAATATGACTGAAAAGTTTTAAGTAAAATCTAAGAAAAAATCTCTGAAATTGATTAGAAAATTTTAGGTTTCTGCATCAATGCATAATATTAAAAAATACTGGTAATACTAACTAAAATTCATGCAATCCTATCCTTATTAAATAATTTTTATTGGGATGAAGCCCAAAGAAAACAGATTTTTGGACTATGTACGCAATCAATCATACTCAGAAAAGTATTTCATTCGATACATATATGTTATCATCGTGTATGATATAATCGTACAGAAATAAACAAAAATTTGACAGTGTCGCAAAATTAAAAAACGTAGTGGATAAACTATATGCATTTACATTGTCAATTTATCGTTCAATTTTCGTGCAGCTAGAAGATGCGTTGTTAGAATTATGCTAAGTTATTTATGAAGGTAATATTAAAGTTTAGAGTTTCAGTTTAGGTAAAATAGTGATTACTAATGAACACAGGCCATGGGTACGTTTTATCAATAGAGATCAGCCAAATTTTTTATACATAACTTCCTAATTTATAAAAAAATTGTCATTATGCATTGTTTACATTTCTTACTGCATTTTTCTTTAATTTTTACACATTTTATGAGTTTATGTTGTGATAAAGGACGTGACTGTTGTGTGTAAACACTAAAATTTAAAATTATGCAGATAGAGAAGTTCTTTGAATTATTTTTTTTTACCAAGTATAACTTCCAAAAAGTATAGAAATGTTTTAAAATCAATGGTTTCTCATGATATGTTGCCTATGCTTAAAACTTCATCCTGAAAATATTTTATAATATTTTAACATATTATATAATATTATATAATATCATCATACATAAATAGACAGATGTACTATAAACAAAAAGTATCAATGACACTAGAGCTCCTAATGGTCCTATATTTTTGTTTTAACTATTTTATTTAATTTACACGGCTTATAACATTTTGTGCAAAATTATGAATAAATAACGAAGGTAAAGTGAGCTTTCAATCAACGTAGATTGCCCTGATGTTGATGGCTACTTGATTGCATCTAAATTATTTTTAACTCCTTGTGCATTTTAAAATATTTCAAATAGAATCACTGTAAATGTAGTACCTGCACTCAAGGTATTGGTTTTTTTTCCGTTAAATTTATTTTTACCAAAACATTGATATACCGTATTTTTTACAGTACCTAATAATTACCATGAAATCATTGAATCATTTTAATTAAAAAATATCTCTGTAAAAATTAAGGTATAATATTTTACTGTAGAAATGGATTTTACGGAAGGTACACAAAAGTGCCATTACTATATATCGTAATTTGATCCGGATTTTTTAGTGTATGCTATCCCCTTTATTTCCTGTTTTACTACGGTACGTATTTTTATTTCGCTAAATATGAAAGAAAGAGGTTTTAACAAGAAATAGGGCACTGGTATACCAGGTGCATAATTTCGGATCCTCATCTATGTTTTAGTTAATTTTCGTTGTTGTATCCCAAATAAGTGAAACACCAATGTACCACAATTTGCAAGAAAATATTTGTACAGGAACTATACTAGGAACCATAGGAAAACTATAACATGAAACTGCGTACAACTTTGCTTTTTATTATATGTAAGGAAGGTAAAAAAAACTACCTTTTGCTATAAAATATTTTTTCTTTTCTTTTTAATTTAATAAGTTATAAAAATACATTTTTTTATTGAAACAGTGAAAAATTTTGCACTAAAGAAATATATTCTCTATAAGTCTTCAAATTGTTTTTTTGCATTCCAAAGGCAACTATTTCAAACATTTGTCCTTTTATTTTTTAACACTTGCACCATTTAATATATCCTAAAAATAAAATATCAATGCATTTCTAAAATCTTTCTCTTTCAAAAGAAAAACATTTATTCAAGGAGGCGCTTTTAAATCCGAAAACTAGATATGAATAATAATAAGAAAAGTGTTTTAGACTTTAACAGCTATCCTAGAGGGATATTTGTAGCTTCACTCTAAATAGCTGTGAAATTTCGATCAGGCCTTACACTAGAAGGCACATTTTAGAAAAGATAGAGCTTAAAGAAATGCATTTTTTAATCAAACAAAATCTTAGAATAAGGACGAAAACTTCGCATTAATAAAATTATTTAAAAAACATTATATGGAAAATGTCGCATAAAATATCAAATATAAATTGTGTTAAAAAAACAATAAAGCAATTTTTATTTGCCTCATCTTACAAGCACAGCTCTTTTTAATAGGATTTTGTAACTCAGATTTCAAATGTGGAATTCGTTTTACGAATATGGAATTAGTTTTAATTTTATTTCGAAAACTACCTTTTTTTTAAATGATATATTTAGTCTATATTTCGTCGAAATGTACACTTTACAAATGTAATATATAACAGGATGTAGCAAAAATGTATTGACAAGCTTTTACTACTTAAATTTACAGTTTTTTTAAGTGAATATTTTGGCTCATTTTTTGACAAAAAAATTCAAGTTTAAGTAGGTTGCCTAACAAAGGGTGGCATAAGTGTTGAAAAAACTTTTAGGGTTGATAGATTATATCATCAGGGTTAAAATTACACAGGAATTCATGAGTGGAAATGTCGTCATACGCCGTTAGAGGCACTTCAATTGCATGTACTCTTTTTCGTGCACTTTTAAACAGATCATAATAAGGACGCACCTCAAGCCACATGCTACGACATTTCTGGACATGGATTTCTTTGCGGTCTTAATCCTGATCGCGTGCCCTAACCCTCCCAGAAAGTAGTTTCAGCACCTATGCGACCCTCGTGTAACGTTTTTAAGATTGTATATTTCGTCAAAAAATAAGCCAAAAATTTCATTTTAAAAAATCTGTAAATTCAGAATCAAATTAATTTAAAATCCCATCATCCGAATTAAACAAGACCTTTGTATAAAGCAACAATAGTTCCCCAGTGTAATCACATAGACAATTGTATACTCTTCAATTAAAAATTTTTTTAATAACTTTATCAAATTCCTTAAAAACAACATACACTACAATATTCATATAAAATGAAACATAAATGATTACAAATAATAAGATATCATTTCAAAGAATGAGAAAAATTGAATCTATTTCTATCCTAAAAATGAAGCCACTAATCAAGTTTGTGATACTTAAGTGCTTATTTGAAGCTTGCTACTGTTATTAAATCATACGTAAATTAATATTTAGTTTATATCCTAATTCAACTTCTTAGTGTACTATTTTACTAAATTAAAAAAATACTTTCATTTTAGGATAACTCTAATGTTA